AAACAGTCACAACTTCTTATCCAGAGCTCCGTTTGAGGCGTGCAATATATCGTTGGAAAGATCTTCAAGTATACTTTCCAATGCAATTAAAATCACTCCATTATCATTTTTATACCGAAAGTTGTGAGAAAAATAGTGAACAGGTGTCATATTTGTGAACTGTTCTGCCTTGCCTGCTACTTAACTTGCCTTTCAAGGCCTTGAGAACCGCAACAAAGCCTTAGCTTGGTGGACTAGGATCGATAATAGCCTGATTACGCACCAATGGTTTGGGACTCGACATAACTTGGTCAACTATACCTGTTAACACACCAAAAACAGACTGAAACCCGTGAAGCACGTAATATGAAGGAAACGAGTGTAACAAGGCAATAAACGACCAAAACGGGCCTAAATACATCCAAAATCACCCATTTATATGCCTTAAAGCGTGCCCTAATGTGCGCTTGTCAAAAAGGCGTTCTGGAAATGGTTTTATCCTTTTAGGGTTCGGTTTTTAGCCAAAAAACGACCAGAAATAGTTGTTCTTTGTTGCTTCCAAGTACTAAAGATTCAATCTTTATTTATGATAAGTGATTGAAACTTCGAGTTACTAAATTCCATGAATTTTGGTTAAACTTTGTTGATTTAATCATTTTTCAGTTGATTGGAATCATAAAGTTTAAAACTTGTGATTGAAATTGGTTTATCCTTATATTGGAAGATATAATTTTTTCATGGAGTCACAAGTATTAAAGTTGGAGTCTTTATTGAACTTATGTTCATTTTTCCAACTCCCTTTTATTTTGTCAAAATCTCAAGATTAATTTAAAGTGATTAAATTAATAGTGAGAATTGCCCTAATTTATTTTATTACACCAAGTTAAACCAATTTTATTAAAGAATGGTTCTTGGAAATAAATTTGGTTAATTGCAATTGGATGAATTATTTATGTTGGACTTGTTATTTTTCATTTTTCCTCAAAATTGATTCTAAAATTAATTTAGAATTGATTTATAATGTCACACAAAAAAATCGATAATTGTCGAAGCATTAGCACGCAACACGAGGCCTAAGAGCCCCGAGCTAGCTCTCGGCCAGCTGGGCTGCTCACGCAACCCATATGTGGCTGCCGAGGCTGCTGGGCACTTCGTTCTTAGGTGCTTGGTGCTGTGCGTGTGTGTGTGCGAGGAAGGGCGTGGGCTGCTGGTCGCTGCCAGCAGCATAGCGCGCCAGCCAGCAGCAAGCAGCAGCATGGCGCAGCAGCAGCATAATGCTGTGCGCGCTGTGCGTGCTGCTACGCTTGGTTGGGCTGGGCGTAGCGCATGCGAGCACAACCGGCCCACATGCATGCTTGGTGTTGCGGGGGTGCGCATGAGCATACTACGTGCTTGTTGTACGGTACGTACAATCCAATAATTGGCACAATAACCCCGAGTTATTAAGGCGATGCTATTTTAAAGTTAATTTTAGCGTTGCTTAATATGTAAGTAAAGGTAATTTTTGGACTCCAAGTCTTAGTGCTAGGCACTTAGACATTTTGGAATACGTATTTTGCGTAAATTGTCGTTTTAATTATTTTAATTATTTTGTTTATTTAATTAAAAATTTTGGAGGCTAGGCCTCGGGTTTTGAGCGACATTTGCAAAATTAATTTTGGCAAACATTTGGGTTCACCGAATTAATTAATTGGATTAGTAAAGTTGGATGCGGAATTTAGTGGGAGCGTCTCTAAGTTATTACCATAACCGGTTAAAACAACTTTGACTAGTTTAATTAGGCGTGTTAATTGGATTAACCACCTAGATTAGTTACTAGTTCTCGCGCGTTTTATGCATTGTTACTTGTTTATCGTTGTAAAATGCATGGCCTCACAAATAGTGAATGGATGAATGGAATGTAAAATTCTCTCACAGGTTTTATGAAATGGCAACTAGTGGGGCCCGATTAGGATAGAAAATACGAAATGTGATCCGTGATGTAATTTTGTAAATCTAAATACGGTCTGCGAACCGTTGAGTATTTTTGTACCTTAATATTTAGATTAGTCCTAATCGTAGATACTAGCAATTGTAATATTTTGGTCAAGTCTTGAAGACGGGGTTCTTAGAAGACAAAGCCATGAAGTTGCAAATGAAAACCTTTTGAAGACTTGAAGATCTCAAGGGGTCATGCTAGTTGCCAAATGCATCTCTATTTATGTTTTCGATATATATTTATGTTTATATATATATGAATTATATGTTAGATGCATGTTTAGGATTTCGAATGTTGAGATGTTTAATTAAGTTCACTTAAATCAACCAACATAGAAACCCTAGGTCCCTAAAATATTGAGTAAAACTCGCCAGTCCAAAACACACTTACCAACCAAACGAGGGTAGTGGTGGGGTACGCATACCGGGTATGCAAGGTAGTTTTGGTTATACTCAACGATATGAGTGATGGAGTCCTAACATGTCGTGGCAAAGTGAATAAATTGTTTAGAGAGCTTTGGATGCGACGATTTATTCAACCAAGAGTGGCTTGGAGCCATTAGCAAAGCATTGCTTACCTTAGGAGATTGAGTGTTAAGACTAGCCAAAGCATGCTTAACAACTCTTTGTTTCTTTGGATCTTGGAATTGACTTATTCTCACCTAAAATGGGGACAATCTTTAATGTGTGAATAAGACGTTTTAAAGAAGTTTGATTAAAATGCATGAATTCAAATCTTATTTAAGTATAATGAATGGTTTTTTATTTCAAATTCTTTCAATTGTAGAATCATGTCTTCAACTAATGTCAACGACCTTATGCTCCCAGAATTGCCCGAAAAGTTGCCAATTTCTCCGAAATTGGGTAAAATTTAAAGAATGGGAAGAGGAACTCCAAAAGACCCTCCGAAATTGCTACCTAGAGCACATTCTAGACACTCAAATCCCGAGTTTCTACTCAAAGGGGATTATGAGTGATGAGGCACATGAGGTATGGAGTGTTGTAGACACCCATTTGTGTCTCCCCAAAACTAAACCCAATGAAGAGTGCCTTTCACGTCGAATCATAATCGAATGAAACGAAAGTGTGGAAAGGTCTAGTGTTGCGGAAAGTTTTATTTCTTTTCTTTTCTCTTCTCTCTGTTTTTGAAAACTTTATTTTAAGGAAAACAGCCAATAAAGTTTGGTTGGTCCATGATATGGGTCCAATAATGTTGTAGTTGGATGGGGCTTGCAAAGACCTTTCCAACGATATATTATAAGCCCAATTCCGATAAATATTGAGGAATTTATGGCGAATTTACTAAACTGGGCCCGGTTTGAGTTTTAAGTACGGCCCAATGATCTAGGGGAGGGCCTAATATGATTTATCATTCCTAATGTAATTAGGAATGGTTTTGGTCTTCTAGAACATTCTAGAAGGTTCTTATCATTCTTAATTCAATTATGATTCTTTAGAGTTTTAATTAGATCAAATAGCATTTTCGACTGAAATTATATTATTTTATCTTCCAGTACGGTAAAATTATCAGATTTATGAAAACGTGTTAAAATCCGATTTGGCGTCCAACCCCAGGCCTTGGCGCCTGGAACCAGGATTGGCGCCAGACGCCAGCCATTGGCGCCTGGCGCTAGCCATTGGTCCTGGCGCCAATGAGCTAGGGCTGGCGCCAAGTTGTTTTTGCGATCTTCAGACTCTGTTGTGATAAATTATCTTTTTGGCCGATTTTCTCTATAAATATCGTATTAAAAACTCCGTTTTGGAGGACGGATTTACATCTATCATTCACCAATTCTCTTTATTCTTAAGTCTTCATCAACTATCTTCATCATTCACCAATTAACATTCGTCTACTGTCAAATAATCCTTTTCACTCATCTCTTTTCTTCAATTTTCATCATCTTTCGTTCTTTCTTTCTAAACTTTATTCTTTAACACAAAATTCCGCATTCACAAGATCTTGATACACCTAGCCATATTCGAAGTTGCCTTCGCCCTAGACGTGAAAGGTTTTAATTTCTGAGGGTTTGGTCCCAAATCTCTATTTCAATTATTTAATTTAATTGCTTTGTTTATTATTTTCCTTGAAGTTACTAACGCGTGTATTTTGTAATTAGAAAGAGGTACGAGGCATCCAAGTAAGTACTTTATTGACTAATTGATTTCATGATGTAGATATCATGTTTATATTATTTTTATTGTTCCTAGTATCATGTATAGGGTGTTTTTAATATTAAGCGTGATTAAGAATATGATGCTTCCTATCTTCTTTCTAATATTTATGATTATAATTGATGATGATTATTTATTATGTTGCTTGATATGCATATTATTATAATATTGTTATTGCTTGATCACCTTTTATTGCAGGTTAAAGGGAATTGGTATTCCAACCACGCTTAATAAGATAATTAATAATCTTGTTAGGTTAATTGTGATTATAATTCAAGTGATTGCCAATAATAGTTTGTTTGTGCATTAAATTCAACCAACATAGATTAAACATGTTTAGGGTTAATCCTATTGTTTGTATGTTAGTCAGAAAGCGCACATGAATACAAGCAGAATAAAGTAGAGGCCTATTATTAGGGCAGGTTCAATCTCTTTTAGGTTGGATTTGTACCATCATCCCCGAACCCTATTTTGGTTCATGACCTTATGGAGTTGACGATCTCTTGGATCGTTAAGGGGTGTAACCTTCACCTCGTGAACGGTTTAAAAGTTCCTTAAAAACTTGTTGGCGACTCTTTTGCTCTATCTTCTTCCCTTTTGGACGCCACCGTACTTTAGTGTATGATCACAGTGGGGTTCAAGCAAGTGGGATTTTTAAAGGCTTGAAAATATTCCCTACAAGTGTGGATTGTAAAAGAGTTTCCAGACTCATGGCAAACTCCATCCCGATACAATGGAAGGGGAAGTTCTCCAACTATTTTCCGGACATGATGCTCGAAGCTCTAGAAGATGTAGTCAATTTGAGAGTCACCGAAAGTACCAGAGGCAACTATGATGGACTTGTGGAAGATGTGACTAGGTCACTCTCGAACATGAGGATCAAGCAACCGCAAGATGGGTGTCTCACGAAAGAGAGACAAGAAGTATGGGCTAAGGTCTATAATGCAAGACTTAGACCCGGGATGCCACTTCAACCTCATGTGCTCAACATGACAAGGCTATTCACCCATCCGGAGCTAATTGGCAAACCAGTGGACGATGAGCAAGCGGCTCTCATGCTACTAAGCTCACTCTATTCGGGGTATGTTGCATTAAAGATGCAACTTACGGCAAAGCGAAACAAACTGTCCTTGATGGATGTCGTTCAAGAGCTCCAGAAAACCTATTCTTGCATGAAGGCTAAGGTTGCTCTGAGACCAAAGAAGAAGGAGTTCAAGAACAAAGCTAAGATGCGCTACATCTATTGTAGTAGACCCGGACACTACAAAAGAGAATGTAGCAAGTATCTAGAAGATGAGGCGAAAAGAAAAGTAACCTTAATCTCAGGTATCATCTTTACACTTGAACATAAGCCATTTATAAGGTATTAGATACCGGAAAATTGGCTCACTATATGCTCCTGTTTCAGGAACAAAGTGAGGAGTGCTTTTCAAGTGGATATGAGTACACAAGTGGAAGAAGAAGATAATCTTTCAAAGAAAGCTTGTAATCTCATATTTTGTCTTGATTTAAAACGTGTTTAGTTTTATTTACCATATTTTGATCTTGTGGCGTTGGATGTTATTTTGAACTTGATTACAAGACATATCATCTTGTTTAAATTTATGGAATGACACGTTTGTGTCTTTGGACAAATTGTTTATAATGATACCAAAAGAGCTAAGACCATAGAGTCAAATCAGACTTACTTGTGGCATTGTCGTCTTGGCCACATCAACATCAAACGCATCAAGAAACTTCTACAAGAAGGTGTTCTTGACTCTTTCGATTTAGAATTGTTTGAGAATTGCGAGGGATGTCTATTAGGAAATATGATTAAACAACCATTGTAGAAAGGGCAAGTGACTTATTGGGTCTTATACATACCGATGTATGTGGACCAATGAGCTCAACCACAAGAAATGGACATCGATATTTCATCACTTTCACAGACGACTATGGTAGATATGGCTATTTCAACCTCATGTCGCATAAATCTGAATCATTTGAAAAGTTCAAAGAATTTCAGAGTGAATTTGAAAATCATCTTGGCAATAAAATCAAAGCCCTTCGATCGGATCGAGGTGGTGAATACCTGAGCCAAGAATTCGATGACCATCTGAAAGAAAAGGGTATATTTTTAGAATTGACACCTCTAGGAACTCCACAATGGAACGGAGTATCTGAAAGGAGAAATCGGACCTTGTTAGACATGGTACGATCAACAATGGGTCTTAGTGATCTTCCTATCTCTTTCTGGGGACACGCACTTCTAACTACGTCACTAACACTGAACCGTGATCCATCAAAAGATGTAGAAAAGACTCCATATGAATTATGGACGAAGAAACCTCCTAGGTTATCTTTTCTAAAGATATGGGGATGCGAAGCATATGTCAAGAAATTGATTTCTCACAAACTTCATCCCAAATCAGACAAGGTTTACTTTGTGGGCTACCCAAAAGAAACCAATGGGTATTATTTCTACAACAAATCGGAGAACAAAGTGTTTGTTGCTCGCGATGGTGTCTTTTTGGAGAGGAAGCATCTTTCCAAAATGACAAGTGGGAGGAAAATCGAACTCGACGAAGTTCGTGAGGATGAGCAACAAAATCATAACGACAGTCAAAGTGCTCAAACAGCATCTGTTGACGCAGGTCAAAATGATCAAAATGTGCAAAGTCAAACCAACAATGCAAATGCTCAATCCATTACCCTACGTAGGTCTCAGAGGCCGAGATCTCAACCTGATAGATATCTTGGTTTAGTATTAACCAAGAATCAGGACATCCATATTATGGATGGAGATGAACCGGCAACCTACAAGCAAGCGATGGCAAGCACCGACTCTGCTAAATGGCAAGAGGCCATGAGATCTGAAATGGATTCCATGTTTGAAAATCAAGTCTTGGACTTGGTTGACTTACCCGAAGGTTATACACCTATCGGATGTAAATGGATTTTCAAGTTGAAAACCGACAAAGATCGAAATGTATTCATTTAAAAAGCTAGATTGGTGGCAAAAGGTTACAGAGAAGTTCATGGTATTGATTACGATGAAACCTTTTCACCAGTCGCAATGCTTAAATCCGTTCGGATCCTCCTAGCGATTGCTACATATTACAATTATGAAATATGGCAGATGGACGTCAAAACCGCCTTCCTTAATGGTTATTTGGAAGAAACTGTGTATATGACACAGCCTGAAGGTTTTGTAGACCAAAACAATGCTAGGAAAGTTTGTAAGTTTAAGAAGTCCATTTATGGATTAAATTAAGCAAGAAGAAGTTGGAATCTGCAATTCGATGAAGCCATCAGTAAGTTTGATTTTATCAAGAATCCAGATGAATCTTGTATTTACAAGAGGGTCAGTGGGAGTGACATCGCCTTCCTAGTCTTATATGTCGATGACATATTGCTCATTGGAAACAGTATTCTGTTGTTAGAGTCTGTGAAGGCCTGGCTTGGAAAGTGCTTCTCAATGAAAGACTTAGTACATACTAGGCATCAAGATCTATAAGGATAAATCTAAAAGGATAATTGGATTGATTCAGAGTACTTATATTGATAAGGTACTTGCTCGATTTGGCATGGAGGAGGCCAAGAGAGCTCACCTTCCAATGTCACATGGCATAACCCTAAGCAAGAAGCAGTGTCCACAGACACTTGATGAGCGGGTAAGAATGAATCAGATTCCATATGCTTCGCTTATTGGATCGATCATGTATGCCATGATATGTACTAGGCCAGATGTATCGTATGCCTTGAGTGCTACAAGCCGTTACAAATCAGACTCAAGAGAGTCGCATTGGACTGTGGCCAAAAATATCCTAAAGTACCTGAAAAGGAACAAGGATAAATTCTTGGTGTATGGTGGTGTAGAGGTATTAGTTGTGGAAGGTTATACCGACGCAAGCTTCCAGACAGACAGAGACGATTTCAAATCGCAATCTGGGTATGTGTTCTGTCTAAATTGAGGGGCGTTTGGTTGGAAGAGCGCAAAGTAGAGTACAACTGCAGATTCTACAACTAAAGCCGAATAATTAGCAACTGCTGAAGCAGCTAAGGAGGCTGTTTGGATTCGTAAGTTCCTTGGTGAACTTGATGTTGTACCCTCTATAAAGGGTCCAATAGCCCTCTATTATGACAGCAATGGAGCCATTGCTCAGGCCAGAGAGCCTAGGGAACATCAGAAGGTCAAACATGTCAAGCGGTGATTTCACATGATTTGAGAATGGAAATCAGAGGGTGAAATCAGAAATTGCAAAGTTAGAACGGATGACAATATAGCCGATCCACTTACTAAACCTTTGCCTCAAGTGAAGCACAACAAGCAGGTTGAGGCAATGGGAATCAAGCATGTAAGAGACTGGCTTTGATTTCCTTGTTTAGTGTTTTAGTTAATTTTGAGAAAAATTAATGTAAGACGCTAAGGAAAACCATTCAAGTTTTGGAGTAATATAAAATTTCATGCAATACTTTATTACTCCGTTATGATATTTAATTTGATTTAGGATTAAATAATGAGTCCATTCGATTATGAGAATATTCAAAATAGGGTATCAAGACCAGTCTTGGTAAGGAAACACCTATTAAGTGAACATTGAATATTATAATCGAAAATTATCCCTAATCAAGGTCATTTAAACGATGGACGATTAATGACCGATTGAGATTAGTGTGTAGTTTGATTTATAGCACCATTTCATGTGCTACAAGGACATGATTGTCATAAATCATTGCACAGGTATTGATTTAGAACCATACTGGATCGACCTATGAGAATACTTTAAGAAATTAAAAAATTTGTCATAAGTATACTTCTCATTATGGCTATCGGAACCTATTTCCTCGACCATGAGTATTGTTAGTTCTCTTGTTTGAGTACTAGTTCACTTTGATGTTGTCAAACGACTGCCGTAATAGGGGATTATAACGGAAACACTCGGGCGACTAGGTCCTCTCAGTAAGAGGAGCTACATTACAAGACTGGGAATGTCCCCCTACTAAAATAGGGAAGATGTCTTTGTTGTATACAAGGCCTCTCATAGAGCGAGACTGTAAAATGCATGGTCGTGCTCGGATGGATTTTGGAAATCATTTGTTTATTGACAATCGGACTCGGAATCGGGAAACACTTCTGGACGTAATAAGGATGACAAAATAAATCTTACCTTATAGTTCATGAAGAGACATTAAGCGACATTGGAAAAAGGCTGTACACAAAATGCGCACTTGTCCGGAAGGACAAGTGGGAGATTGAAAGGAATGGTGTCCTTCGAACAAGTGTACTATTCCGTTAGTGGATTCAGAATTATTAGAAAGCTAATATATATTCAGTGAGGTCAAGCGATCGGAATGCTTGGGTGGAGGCCGCTTCCGATCAGTAATATTAATGAATAATTAATATTACAGCTTAATCTTGACTGAACCCTTCGGGTCACACCCAAGCATTCAACAAACCGAACCAACGAATTAATTCGGAAAGAATTAATGAGTCGACCGAGTAATATTTATTTAGATGTCGGAAATTCAAGCTTAGACCGTCGAAACCGAGCGTCGGAAGTCGAGTCGAAAAATAGTGAAAGACGAACGAGAAATAGTAATAAATCAACAAAAGACCAAAATACCCCTAGCATCGGAATGCCCAAGCAAACCGAGTGCTAAGGGCGAATGGCCAAGCATGGTGGCTAGCATGCGCACCAAGCCAATCCTAGGCTGGCTGGTACGTGCTAGCGCACCCATGCTAGCATCGCAAGGCTAGGCGCTGCCTAGTGCGTGCTAGCATGCTAGGCACAGCCTTGTGCGCGCAATGGCTAGTAAGCCATGCCGCAACAAGCTGCAGCAGCTAGCACGTTAGGCGCGCCAGCTCTCCACAGCTAGCAGCAGCATGGCTAGGCCATTGCTTGCTGCCTAGCAGCGCTGGCCAAGGCACAAGGCCAGCAGCTGCCCGCACAAGCATGCTGGGCTTGCTGGCCAGCAGCGCCTGACAGCCCGCATGCGAGTTCTGGGCTTGCTGGGCGTGGTTGCCACGTACATCAGCACATGGCAGCCCACCTTGGCTGCCTTAGTGCCCAAGGGTGGGTGTCATGTGGCTAGTGGTCCTTGAGTGTGTGTGGAGTGAGGTGGCCGATTATGGGAGAGGGAGTGGGGAGCAAGTTTGGTCCCCCCCTTCTCCAAGTGGTGCTCACCTAACCACTCACATGAGCTTGCCACTTGTTGATTTATTACTAGCTTGATTATTGATTTTATTTTAGTTTTAAAATAAAATGGAAAAATCATACTATCCCACATTGATGGGAGAGTAAATGATACTCCCATTATTTCCTATAAATACCCAAGTATGGGCATTGGGAATGATGCTTGAGTAAGAGTTGAAAAAGGCATCACAATTAGTGAAAACCTTTGAACTCAATATAATTACTCGGGTTTTATTGGTCGGGTCTTGCTAACCCCAAGACATTGGACCTAGTCGGTTTTGTCGGTGCGGGTGGTCTTCGTTGGAGGTCTCTGTGTGAGCGGGACTTGAAGCTTTCAAGTAAGAGCTCATTTTGGAGCGAAGCACGCGGCAAAGGTAATTAGCTTATCTTAATCTTGTGAGTGCGGTCTTGTTTTAGGGTTTGTTCCCGCGGTGAGTCGGACTAACCAAACTCCAACAGAAGGCACCCTTCCTTCTATTGAACGACAAAGAAAGCTACACCCTCAAACGGGAAAGGTGGTGAAAAAAGAAATCACCAAGCTCTTGGATACGGGAATCATATTCCCCTTCTCAAGCTCTAGGTGGGTTTCTCCCGTTCATGTCGTTCCTAAGAAGGGGGGTATGACGGTAGTGAAGAATGAGATTTGTGAGCTCATTCCAACTAGGACGGTCACCGGTTGGAGGATGTGTAAAGACTATAGACGTCTAAATACATCCACCTAAAAGGATCACTTTCCCCTTCCATTCATTGATCAAATGTTAGAGAGACTAACAAGGCACAAGTTCTATTGCTTCCTTGATGGCTATTCGGGATTTTTCCAAATTCCAATCCACCCCGAATATCAAGAGAAGACAACATTTACATGCCCCTATGGGACCTTTGCCTATAGGAGAATGCCCTTTGGCCTTTGTAATGCCCCCGCAACTTTCCAAAGGTGCATGATGAGCATTTTTGGAGACATGTTGGAGGAAGAAATGGAGGTATTTATGGATGATTTCTCCCTAGGTGGGGTTTCATTTGAATAGTGCCTAGTTAATCTTAAGAAATGTTTTGCTCGGTGTGTAAAGGTTAATCTTGTCTTTAATTGGGAGAAATGCCATTTCATGGTGGAGGAGGGGATAGTGCTTGGGCATAAGAACTCTCATAAAGGAATAGATGTGGATAAGGCCAAAATTGAGGTTATTGAGAAGCTTCCACCTCCGGTGATTGTCAAGGGAGTGAGATCATTTTTAGCTCATGCGGGTTTCTATAGAAGATTCATCAAGGATTTCTCACTCATTGCCAAGCCCCTTAATGATCTTCTTCAAAAAAGATGTTGAGTTCGTTTTTTATGATAAATGCTTGGAAGCATTTAATAGATTAAAGAAGGCCCTAATCTCTACCCCCATTGTTTAAGCCCCAAGATGGGATTTACCCTTTGAATTGATGTGTGACGCTAGTGATTGGGCAATTGGAGGTGTTTTGGGACAACGTGTGGACAAGAAGCTTTATGTGATTTACTATATGTCCAAGACACTAAATGTGGCCCAAAAGAATTACACAACAACGGAAAAAGAATTCTTGGCCATTGTCCACTCTTTCGAGATATTTTGGTGTTATTTGTTAGGTTCCAAGACCATTGTCTTCACAGATCATGCGACTCTCACGTATCTCTTTGCCAAGAAAAAGTCCAAGCCAAGGTTGATTCGTTGGGTGCTTGAATTACAAACTTTTGAAATAGAGATTAGGGATAAGAAAGGTGCGGAAAATGTTGTGGCGGACCATCTTTCTCTCCTTGAGGGTGATCAAATTCATGATGATGGTCTACCAATTGAAGATAGAATGCTTGATGATGTATTGTATGCCATTAAGGTTAAGGATATCCCATGGTATGCCGACTTGGTGAACTTTCTAGCATGTGGGGAGTTTCCACCTTATTTCTCCAAGAACCAAAAGAAGAAGCTCAAGAGGGAGGCAAGACATTACTTGTGGGATGAACCAATCTTGTATATACGCGGGGTGGATGGCTTGCTTTGGTGTTGTGTCCCGAATGAAGAGGTGCCAAGTGTTCTAAAGATGTGCCATTAGGATCCAAGTGGCGGTCATATGGGCGTTTCAAAAACCGCCACTAAGGTTCTTCAACGTGGTTTGTGGTGGCCGCATCTCTTTAAAGATTCATGGGGCTTTGTAAAGTCATGCGACCGATGTCAAAGGGTTGGGAATATCTCCAAGAGGAATGAGATGCCTCAACAACTTATTCTTGAATTAGAGGTGTTCGATGTTTGGGGGATTGACTTCAGGGGACCATTCCCATATTCATATGGTAATCAATTCATACTTGTGGCTGTGGAATATGTTTCTAAATGGGTTGAGGCCATTGCCTCCCCTACTAATGACCACAAAGTAGGGTTGAAGTTGTTCAACAAAATCATCTTCCCAAGGTTTGGCGTGCCTAAGGCAGTGATAAGCGATAATGGATCTCATTTTGTTCACAACGCCTTCCAAAAGATGTTGAGGAAACATGGAGTGCATCAACGGTTCGGATTCCCATATCATCCTCAATCGAGTGGCCAAGTCGAGGTCTCCAATCGTCAAATAAAGCTCATTCTTGAGAAGACAGTTGCAAGGAATAGAAAGGATTGGTCGGACAAGTTAGATGATGCTCTTTGGGCTTATTGGACGGCTTTCAAGACGCCTATTGGTACCACTCCATATCGCCTTTTCTATGGCAAGTCTTGCCATCTCCCGGTGGAGCTTGAACACCGTGCTTTATGGGCAATCAAAAAGATAAACTTTAATTTAGAAAGTGCGGGGGAGAAAAGGTGGTTGGATCTTCATGAGCTAGAGGAGCTTAAACTTGAAGCTTATGACTGTGCTAGCACCTACAAAACTCGTTCCAAAGAAGCTCATAATAAGCTTATTGAGAAAAAGGTGTTTTGTGTGGGTGATAAAGTCCTCCTCTACCTCTCGAGAATGAAGTTATTTCCCGAAAAGCTCATGTCAAAATGGAGTGGTCCTTTCTTGGTGAAGGATGTTTTTGCTAATGGCACCGTGGAGATTTCTGCTTTGGATTCCTCATCTTCTTTCAAGGTTAATAGTCATCGGCTTAAGAAATATTTTGAAGGAGTGTTTGTTGGTCTTATTCCTAAAATGATTCTTTTCAAACCACCTTAGTGGAGTGGTAAACGTCGAGCTAATGACGTTAAACAAAAGCGCTTACGAGAGGCAACCTGGATTCTCACCTTTACTCTCTTTTCTTTCCTTTCTTTTATTTTTGGTTTTTTTGTTGATTTTTGCTCTTACCCTTCCTTGTGTTTTTAGTTTATTTTGTAGGATGCCTTCATTCAACATATATGGACTAAATGTGTTTGTTCAGGGTGATAAGAGGTTTTAGAGTGTAGGGGAGAGGGCACCCCGCGGGCTTGGAGAGGCCTCAGGTGCCCTTGCTTTCAACAAGTGGAAATCGGATCAGTAGCTCTCCGCGGTCTATCCGCGGGCTCTCCACGGGCGCGGGTGCCTTAGAGAGAGCGCAGGGAAAATTCAGAGAGGGCGCGACTCATTTTCTAAAAATTGGATCAGGAACTCTCCGCAGTCTCTCTGCGGGCACGACAATTTTTGAGCGGGCGCGGGCGAATTAGAGAGGGAGCGACACATGGTCAGGTATGAAATTTCCGGATTTTTCCAGAAACTCTTCGTGGTTGCCCCGAGGTCTCTCCGCGGGCGCGACAATATTGGAGCGGGCGCGGCTTTGTCTAGAGAGGGCGCGGGGATCTTTGTTTTTAATAGACCCGGTTCCCCTCTCTTTCTCTCTCCTCTCTTATTTTCCCTTTCACTCTTAATTTTCCCCATTCTCTCTCTTCCTCCTCTCAAACTCTAACCCCCAAAACATCTCTTTCACTCAATTTTACTCAAATTCACCCTTGTTTTCTCTTAAATTTCCATCCAAACTTCCTTAATACTCCATTTTCATCAAGTTTGCTCTTCTTTCTCGTGGTTTTCTTCGGGAATTTCGAGTCTACTCGGTTTTGTGCTTAATTTGAGTCTTCAATCTTGGTATACTTCTCACCTTTGTTTTAATTTTGTCAATTTCAATTGATTTTTATGCATTGGTTGTGGGTGGCCTTGATTAAGCTTGAGTATGGTGTTTTTGGTTGTTTGTTTGGTGGTTTTGGAATTATTTTGGATGTTTTTGTGCTTCTTTTTGTGATAGATTGTTAATATTGTTGGTTGTTGTTGGATTTTTGGTTGTTTGTTGCTTGTAACAAGTACTTTGTAGTTTGTGGTGGTTTTGGGTGGTCTTGTGAACGGAGGTTTGTTCACTTTGGTGGTAGTGTTAAATTTGGATGTTTATTATGATTCATTGTGTTGGTTGAACTTGAAACTATGGATTTGTTAAGGAGAGTTAAGAGTAGCAAGAGAAGTTCAAACCAATCCCCAGCCAATCCTCTCATGGCCAACCTTCAAACACCGAACCCCCTCAAAACCAAACTACTTAAGATAATGCCCAACCTTCTCCTTTACCCGCTCTCAAATTTCATAATCGGGCAAAACACACCCTTATCTATAATAAAATGAAATCCCGGAAATTTAGACCGTCCCGCAACTATTTTCCCGAGGATATGGAAAAGTTGGGTGTTGATGTCGATCTTAACTTTTGCTATGTAATCTTGGTTTGGTTGAGTTTGTAAAGTCATCCCCCCGAACTTATTTGGAACCATGCATTGAATTTTTCTCCGCGTTTGAGTTTAATATGACGGGGGATACCGACTATATCATCTCTTTTAAACTTTTCAATTCCAAGCATACCATGAACCTTGCGGAATTCAATAAAGCCCTTGGTTTCAACCCAAATACCGACATCTTTGAGCCCTTGGTTGCCCTTCACAAGACCGAATACAATGAGGTTGCTTGGTGGAGAGCCATATCTAGGAAGAAGTCATTTGACTCTAAGGAATCGCTTGCTAGCGAGATTATCCACCCTGTTCTTCGTCTTCTCCATCGGATTATTGGGTATTCAGTGTTTAGTAAGCAAGATCTTGGGAAGCTTTCGAGGGAGGAGATCTTGGTGCTTTGGATGGCTACAAGGCCGGATTTGGGGCCAAGGTTGAATTTTGGGTATCTTTTCGTGAATTGTTGTAAATTGATCACTAATGGGAAGAAGACGGGTGAGATTCATTGTGGTGGTATGATTACTAGATTGATGCATTATTTCAAACAAGAGCGTTTCTTGAGGTCTTGCATTCCGATTGGAAAAAGTTGACGAGGGTTGAATCGGTCGCTACAATCTAACTCTCAATCAAACAATACTTATACGAACACCCTATAACCAAGTACAATGGCAAATAAAGGTTCGGTCCACGAGGAACGAGAGTAATTGCAAATCAATCTTAAACCTAAGCTAGTTCGAAATCAATGGAAAATGGTGTTCTAAAATACTACTAATAAGATGGAATAAATCAATAAACTAAGACACTAGGGAGATCGGGAATCCGCCTAACCATTGGTAACTAAGCAACAAGGAATCACAGAGACAAACGGGATATGCAAAGACTATAAGTTTGATCAATATCATGTGATAGGAAGACAACGGGCAATACTAAGCTTGGATTTCTCATGCACTTAACATTACTCGATACATAATCAAACCACATTCAATAATGAAATACTCAATTCACAATCTATTGTTCAAATCAAGAATATCATGCAATCAAATTCAAGATTCTAGGTTAGCTACTCCTATTATAATGAATTAACATGCAATCGCATATAATCAATTTAATCACAATCCGTTTATCAAAATCAATCCTCAATTACATAGATTACCTAGGCCGGGTTTCATCCCGAAACCCTAGCTAGGAGACTACTCACACATATTCATAATCAAAGCAATAATGAATTCCAAAAGCATAATAGATATAAACATGAATTCTGATTAAGGAATAATAATGAATAATACCAATTGTATTGATGCGAATCAATGGAAAAGTTCAGAACTTTGATATCCGTCGTCAATGAATAATACAAAGAATCTTCGCAAATCTTGCTTCAAATCAATCCAAGAAAACTAAAATCTCTAGAAATATCTCTAAGAAAACTAATGAATCTCTAATACTAAGAACGTTCTCCAATAACTCTCTACAAAGGCTCTCAAAAACTATCTCTCAAACTGTCTGAGGAATCCTCTTAAAGTTGGGCCTTATATACGTCTTCTAATGCGGAGAAGTCAAGCGCGCAGTTAACCCTGGATCAGCACGGCCGTGCTGTATTTGGCACGGCCGTGCTAGCTTGTCAGTAAATAAACCAGATTTCTTCTTCAAATTGGCACGGCCGTGCTATATAT